GCCGGTGCCGCTTTGCTTCCTCTAGCGCTGGCTTCGTTGGCACGGCTGATTCTCTCCCGTCTCGCCTGCAGCTCTTCAAGTTCCCCCTTATGCCACCATCGGCCCTGGGAATGGTCACAACTAGGTCTTATTTTCAGGGTAGGTCTTATATTTTATTAATTCCCAAAAATAGTACTAGGTCTTATTTTCGGGGTAGGTCGTATTTTTGGGGAAACAGGGTGTGTATATATATATATATATATATATATATATGTATATATATATATATATATATATATATTCTGCAGCACTTAATTTTAAGTGCATCTACTATTTTTTCTTAAGCCAGGTAAACACAGAACAAATTTCAGCAGGAATCGGATTAAATTCGCTTAATTGCTGACTCTATTCCTTCAGCAGGAATCAGTCATTAGCTCGACTTTTGCTGAAAGAACCTGTTAGAAAATCTTTGGCCGAACAGAGCTTGCAGCCAATTAGCTTCAAGCTCCTATGCAGTATAATACAGTAGAAGCAGTGGGGAATTCATTCATCAGTGTGCATGGATAAATCTTTTACATTTCGTTTGATCAGCCTGCAGGTTGAACAAAGAAATTACATATGTGTATATCTTTCTTTAGTCCCCCTGCAAAGTCTAAACATACCTGTTCATGACCGTGAAGTCCTCCTAATGCAGCTTCCTGTGATGGTGTGGCAATGATGCTGCACTGCTTTTGAATTCAGAGCAGAGTTGCCACTCTCATGTAATCTGTGGCTTCTTGTACTACAATGGGATAAAAAAAAGTTGCAGGAGTTGTGACTATCAGCATCATCAATGTTGAAGACTGTAGCTTGTCAATCAGCACTTGGTCACACCTAGCATAGCCAACTGTTTTCTTGGTTGGCAGCACTTACTCTGTTGATAAAACCCTCTCACTGTGAGCTGCCGTGTTCGGGAGGGGAAACGTGCGATTCAAATGAAAGATTTGTCAGGAAAAGTAAAAAAAAAAATTTACTTTGAGACATGTACATCACATAGTAACTGTATTTGACACTTGTTTAGATTACACCACTGTTTTTACTCATATGAGCATATACTATTCACAGATTATGGCTGCTCAAGACACAAAAGAAAATGCCCAGGCACTTTAGTATATTCACCCTGCTATTATGTTTAGCCTCGGAATTCTTTTGTCCCTGAAAATTATTAGTAGCAAATAAATTAGTAAACTAAATGTAAGCTTGTAATCCATCATGGGAGCACGCTTAGAGAGGTGGCTACTTTATAACAGGCACAGGGACCATGGGGAACAAAAGTAGCCACCCTCCAGAAGGAAGGTCAGTGTCAGCACAAATTCAGATATGATTTGAGGATCTACGGCTGAGTGATACACAAATATTTCTATTATCTCATTGGTCAACAACATCACTTATGTGGTCATTTTCTTTTCTCTGATTTTAATGAATCGGGCACTCTGCTGCTAACTTCCATGGTTTGGGTAATTGTTTTGTAGCGTGAGGTGTTTGGCTGTAACCCTAACACTCTCCCATAAAGTAGATCTAAATCCTAACTGGATAACATTTAGTTTGCTAAAGAACATTTTACAAAATAACACTTTTGCCCATTTTTCCATACTCCTTACATCTCAGTGCTGCCACGTTTTAAGAACCACTTCCTGTCTATATGCGCTCTCTCCAGTGTGAGCTGCACATCGGTGTGCCACTTATTACCACTGCCAGGGGTTCCTGTGGCAGGGTACTAATGCACGGGTACCTTTAGGAGACAGTTGTTATCCTGTAACAAGAAGTGCATGAACAAAGAACATCCATGGTGGGATCACCATCAACAGGTACCCTTTTAATGAAACCTGCAGACTTCCATAGATTGAAAACAACTATTGAAATCACATTACCAAGTTGACATTTACATAAACTTTATATCAGTCTTTGTTACTGTTTCAAAACATGGATGCCTGCCTTTTAATGCAAGTTCAGTCTCCTGGTTCTTTCATTTTTCAGTTTACTAGAGAAGGCTTCTAGTCATACGGGTCATGTAATCCTTTTGTTTACAAAAAGGTCTTTAATCTCACTCTCAAAAGTCCATTTACTAAAGGGATTTCTTGGTCCTCAGTCAGCCTCTGTAATTCAGTAGAAGTTTGTTTATAAGTTAGGACCATTCCGCTGCCTAATCCTCTCCAAATGTTTACTTGGTATCTCTTCCATAGTTTAAACTGCTAATCATTTTCCATGCTGTAATATCCAGTTTACAGCAGCCCCTGCTGATTTCAGATGTATTAGTTGAATTGATAACGCTGTCATATAACATGAAAAGTTAAGTTGCTTATCAGTATATTTTAAATATACTGATAAGCTACTTACATTTTACAGTAGTTCTTGCAGGCTTCAGACAAACATTAGTGCCTCTCACTCAACTGTCACGTAAATTGTGTCTCACTTCATTTATTACTGCAGGCTGTTTAGTTCCTAACCATGGGGGCACAGATCCCCTTACAGTTGGCAGAGTGTTGCTGCATCTTGTAAAGGCTATAAAAAAAAATAAAGTTTAGCTCTATCTTAAAATTCAGTCCTGTGTGCAGTATCTGTAAGAGAATGTGACCAAAGGGCGCCTCAGCTGCCATTTCACACGACTGTGCTGATTATGCATAGACTTCCCTCAAATGAAATAAAAATTTCTAAAACTTTCCAATATAATGTAATGTGTGTGTATATTTTCGGTAAGAATTCAAGCTAAAAGCAAGCCGTTTTCAGCAGAGAAAATTGAAACACAGATCTGATATTCTCCAAGATCTGAAAGTCTGAATGTCTAGATGCAAATTGGGTTTATGCCATTCAAGCATATGTCATACCTATTCCACTACATTTCACAACATAGTGGCACTTACATTTGCTAATATACTTTTGCAGCACTGGACCTGAATGTACACATTACATCATCAAGGGTCTGATGTGAGGGCACCCTTGTGCTATGGTTTTAACACCAAGGGGCAGTAGTAGCTTTCATAAATGTTCTTGTACATGTGAAAGATAAAGACCTTTTAAATGTTAAATAATAATATGTTAAATAATTTTGGTATGTGGCGCAGTGCACTCTTTCTTGGTCAGTGATGAAGTACTCCATTATGTTGGTGGTCAGTGGGGAATTTCCTCTTACGTTGATGGTCAGTGGGTATGTAAATGATTAGTGTCCGTGTCTACCTGTGAGATGACAGGCTGCATATCCCACGCTGTCACCTTTGGTTCTATTTAGTGATGTGCAGGCACTGTCAAGCTGCAGATCCATCAGCCTGTTTACTGCTAGATCACTGCAGAGAGTGCCTAAAAAATAATCTGGTTGTTGTTAGACCCCCATGTACCCAGCAGGAGGTCCAGGGCATATGCTCTAGGTGCCAGGGATGTAGCAATGCCCATGCTTGAGAGAGGTTGCTCCCCCAATCTTCACAGTAGTTAATTTAGCTTTTGTGCACTCTATAAGAAATTTGCGGAAAACGAGGAGTTATTGAAATCACAGTATACAACTGTCATGTTTTACCATATTTATTACAAAGGAAAAAAAATCAATCAAAATGTGCAAGAAATGGCACTCTGAAACATTTTGTGCCTGTGCCCACCTCCTTCACTACATTGTGCCGATTAACTGCTCAACACATGTTCATTTAAGCAGAGCTTTTTCCCCTGCTTTACACCTATTTAGCTTAGACAGTCAGTAGAGTAAGGCTGGACACAAACCTATCCTATATTTTATTTTTAATTTACTTGTAGCCAACTTTAAAGGAACGTGGATCTCATAAATAGTAAAACAATGAAAAGCTTGGCATTTCTATTTCTCTGAAATTGCACTAGGATTATTTAGCTGTAATGTCTTACTCATTAAACAAAACCATCTAAGTTTTAACACTGTTAAGCTGGTCATACACTGGTAGATTTTTGTACAAATATTCATACAAAAATCTAATGAGAACATTCGATAATGCCATCAGAGACTCGTAGAATGTAACTCTAAATTTCATTTGATTTTACCATCTAATTTTGGAATAAATGGAGTTTCCCGAACAAAAACCACATTTACTGTTTTTCATTCATTTACGAAGAAATTTCCATCCTGCTCTTTTTTTATTTTTTTCATCCCTATAGTTAAAAACGATCAATGTTTCAACCCCACTAATTATTAGAACGGTTGTTCCAAAAACACATTTTTCAAACAAAATTCTACTAATGTATGGACAGCTTTAATGTTGTTGAATCTGCTTCTGAGTTATGTTCTCTTTTGTCTAGATTTGTAGATCTCTAAACATATAATTTGGTTTTATTTATCGGTGTGTGGAAAAGATGAGCTGTCTATTGCTCATAAAACATAATCCATTCATTTTTTAAACGTTAATTAAAAATGTCTGTTGAAATTTGATTGTTTGCTTCAGGCAACACTGGCAGTTCGTCATTCAGACTCTCTGATACATGAGAATGCAATGATAGAGTATTATAGCTTTTTGGCCTAATACCATTTTACAAAGAAATACAGTAAATGTTGAATGCAGCACCTAGTAGTATTGATGCTAGTCCTCATTCATGTCTACTTCTCCTCTGAGTAACCTTCATATCTAGAAGACTTGTACCAATTTATCTGACCCAGCCTTTTTGAATAGGGTGCACTGCATACTAATGAGCCCTAAGTGCCTGCATGAGCCCTAATATCCTTTAATAAAGCATTCAACGAGCTTTGGTGAGTGGTAACTCAACTTTTCAAATGTCAGTCTCCCAGAAATAAAGCTGATGTAAAAACACAAGTGAATTTAAATCTCTATTTATTAACACATTGTTACATTAACACATTGTTAAAACAGCTACATTGTATGTATTTCAGATGTGTGGTTAGCTGTTTGCCTCGAGTTCAACCTTAAAAGTCATATGCGGCATTGGTAGCTGAAGTTTGCACATCCATTTTTCCAAATTATTTCATTTTGCCAAATAAATTGAAATTTCCTTTTTGTCTTTCCTTTGTCTTTCAGCTACCTCCCCTGGTTCGAAGTCTTCTACAAGTTACTCAACATCTTGGCTGATTACTCTCTGAAAAACCAGGTAATTCTATAAAGGCTGATGTTTTTGGACATCCATGAATGTGTGTGCAAGGAAACTACATGACTCGTGCTCGCGGGGGACTTAAAAAAAAAATCTAAATTATCTTTAGATTTATTTTATTTAATTTTAAAAACTTGTTGTTTTTTTTTACTTTACTTTGATTGCAATCACATAGGGGTGCTTATACGCCCCCCCATGTGATAGCAGATGGTGGTGACAGGTACTCTTTAAGGTGATGCTGGGGGTCCAAAAGATCCCCAGTGTCACCTTTACACTCCAAATAAGCTATTGAAGTGCAAGTTGCACCGGGACCGGAAGTGATGCAATCTGCATCGCTCCTGGTCCCATAGAACGGGGAGGGGATCGACGAACGGAGGTTCGTCCATCTCCTCCCCAGCTCCCCACCGACACAAGAGAAGCCGGTCCCAAGCCCGTAGGAGGGGCAACGGAGCCCGGGAAGCACGGCGGGGGTGTGGGACTGGGGGGGGGCGCAACAACCCCTTCACTGGGCTGTAGAAGCTGAGTCGCCATAATCGCTTCTATTGTGAAGCCTGACACTGTACGACATCAGTCGTGAAGGGGTTAAAATACAATAGAGATATTTGTATCTCTAAATTCCGGAACACATGTTGTCAGCCCTGCCTACTTACTTTCTCATGGATTACAAAGAACACAGACCTCTCCTCATCCTCCCCAATCCCCATATTTCCATCTTATGTGCAGGCAGAGAGCACAGGAAGTTTCCAGCTCACAAAATGTCTAGCAAAAACAACAGGTATTTTTCTAATTTATCAAATAGATATAACCAAACACTTTCAGTTGTAGGTTTAGCAGACCAAATGGGAGAAAATAAGAGAAGTTCAATGTGAGGATTTACATACATGTTAATATAATATACTGCCCCAACGTGAACATAATACAATTAGTTTGCCCCATATCACCTCACTGTACTACAAATTGGAGACCCTGTAATTCGTGTGTTTACATTTAATTTTGTGACGCATGCTTTTGTGTTTTTCATAAAAAGCTAAAAGTTTCTGGTTAAAAATAAAAAATTGAAGTGACACTGAACACTGACACTGAAAAATAAATTCAAGTACCTTAACCATTAACAATAATGTATCTCATTTGTGTATTTTTTTTTTACATTATGTTATAAAACAACTAATATTACCCACTTTTTTGGTAAAATATAAAAGACGGGGTCACGTCGGGTAAATAGACACCAAACATGTCAAGCTTAAAAATTGCGCGCACTCGCAAAATTGCAAAAAACTAGCATACCCAAAATTGGCCATATGCGACGCTTTAAAAGCTTTTACCGCTCATCAGTTTAGTGTTATCAGTGATTGATGGTCCTAGACTTATTGCTCTCATTCCGACGTTCGCGGCGATATGTAACGTGCGGCGTAATGGGCGCAATCGTCGTTTTCGCAGGTATGCGCAGCTGACGCATGTTTACATCTGTGTATGTAGGGGGGGGGACTTTAAAAAAAAAATTAATTTTTTTTATTCTTTGTTGTGTAACTTTAAAAAAAATTTGGGGGGAAACTTTTAATTTTTTTACTATTTTTTTTTTCACTTAACTTTATTGCTATCACAGAGGGGGCTCTCCAAGACTCCTAATGTCACGTATGACCCCCCTGAAGAAGCTGATGAAGCAGAGATCTGCTTCATTAGCTTCATAAGCATACCTGAAGGGCCACTAATTTCATCAGGCAAACACCAGGAGCTGCAGTTGGTCACCTGTACCAAGCTTCTCCTGCCTAGCACCCTGCTCTACAAATTCCATCCTCTATGGTAATCTGCTGCATATCTTCCTACCTTGGTGCCTGTGGACCCCTTCTTCTGGCTCCAGCTGCTGATAGATCATTTGAGGCCCTGTAACGATGTTACAGAGAGTAAGAAGTGAGTAAGAAGTAGCAAAACTCAGTAAGGTCTCAAACACCAATTGCACCTGCTATGTGGAGAAAAGTATGTGGACACCTCTCCCGATTATTGAGTTGAGGTGTTTATATTAAATTGTGAAGCAAACATTGCAGCATACAAATAAATTTTAGACAATTGTTTGCTTTTTACCTTGTGGTAATATTTTGAGGAAGACCCTTTTCTGTTCATGCATGAATGTGCACCTTTGCAAAAACCCGCTCCATTAAGATATTGTTTGATGGGTTTGGTGCAGAGGAGCTTGATTGGCCTGCACAGTGCCTTGACCTCAACCTTTTGGGATGCCCTGGAATGTGGTTTGTAAGCCTGGTCTTCTCTTCCAATATCTGTTCCTGACCACACAAATATTATTTTGGCTGAAAAGGCACAAATTCCCACAGAAACACTACAAAATAGACCCAAACACTGTCACATGATGGAGGAAGCAATGTCACTGCTTTCTTCTTGGCACCAGCATCTAGATATTTTGCTACTGGCTGCGAAGAAGAAAGGAGCTGTGATTAATCCCTGAAAAAACAGTAAGTCAAGGTGGTGGTTTAAACACTGTCACTTTGCCTGAATAGGCAAAATGACCATGTCTCTCAAGAAAGATTAAAAACAACTTCTGAAATTACATTGACGTCATGGAGTGTGGGAGGAAACCGGAGTACCTGGAGGAAACCCACGCAAGCACAGGGAGAACATGCAAAATCTGGCAGATAGTGACCTGAATGGGATTCGATCCAGGGACTCCCAATGCTGCAAGATTTGAGTGATTGGGTTTAGGTCCTTGGTTCTCAACTGGTGGGTCGTGACCCAAAAGTGGGTCGCGACCCCATTTTCAGTGGGTTGCCGCATGCCTTCCACTTGTCTAGGTGAGAGCCCTCTCAGCCTCCCCCTGGCACAACACTGTTACCGTAGTTCTCATGCCAAGCAGCCATTCAAAATATGCTGAGTGTCAGCTTGAGGCAGGGTGGGGTATGGGCTGGAGCTATGACCGTGCGGTAGCTCCATCCATATGTGCATTGCTTACAGCTCCCCCGCATGTTATGTAGAGGTGCCTGGAGTGACATAACATTCTGGCTCTCGGCACCTCTGCAGGGCATACAAGGGATGCCCATATGGATGGAGCTTTGTCACAGCACAGAAGCCCACACTGGATCCCAGGCTGAGGATCCACTCCAGTTCTTGTAATGTAGGGACAGTGGGTGGATCTTTAAAAAAAAATATTTTTTTTTTTGGGGGGAGTGTGTGTGAGATTGTGTCTGTCAGTGTTTTTGAGGGCCCGTTTACACTAGTACAGTGCGATAATTGAACAGTTCTGTGCCCTTAACACACGGTACCGCACAATCACACCTATGTGTTCTGGTGTGGGAGGTGCTTTGTGTTGCCATTCATTTGAATAGCACCCCACCTGCAGCTCTCGCCCACAGCTCAAATCGCCCGCACTGGAACGTGTGGTACTGCAATGCCGTGCGTTCTATTGCAGTGCGATTTGGGTCGCGACTTAATGATCAAGGACAAATGTGGGTCCAGAGGTTACACAGGTTGAGAACCACTGGTTTAGGTAATAACTTGACTGAACGGAAATTTAGGAGCTGCCATTGCATACTGTACTTGTTATTAAAAAGGACGGTGGAGCTGTCATCCTTGTCCTTGCACTATTTTCTGACAAGTGGTATGCGCATGCTTGTTCCAGGTCAGTGGTTTACTAAGTAGTGATAAAAAAAGTTAATGATGATGGCCTCACAAAATTTACTCAAATACAAGTCAGCAATGGCAGCTCCCAAATTTTTGTCCGGATGGGTTGTTTTTAGAATAGAGGACAAAAACATGATGTTTACCACCTTACTTCTGCTTTCATTCAGGCCATTACAGCCATTTTTTCTGCTTTGAGAACTTTATTTTACATTGTAATCACTGAAATATTTGATGTGTAATTTTTTTTTTTTGTAGGATAATCAGCGAAATGCACTGCTTGACACTCTTTATAGACTGCCCATCCCAGAACCAGGAACTGAAGTTCATCTCAATGTGGTAAGACTCTGGCTAAGTCCATTAAAACATGTTTTACTTTTACTATACCCTTGCTTCACAAGCTGTTGGTGTAAACAGAAGGAGTCATCCCAAAGACTCACAATTTACAGAAATTGTCAAGAATCTTTTAGATGGAGCTTCATTTATTATAACTCTAAAATGTCATGGTAAAATCTGCCAACTCTTCTTCCCCGCATGGGCCAATAATCAGTCTTTGCTTTAGGTCATCATATAGCACATTGTTGCATTATTTATAATTTGTCATAATTACTAGTTATCTAAACTAAATTGGAAAATATTTAGAACTTCAGTTTTTTCCTGACTGATCACCATATTTCCTGTCCCTGTGAGACCCTGTTATGGTGCCCATTATGACCCTGTCATTAGGTTGAATAGGTAAAGTGGCCGCATCTGAACAGTTACACCTGGGACTTCTGTCGTAAGAACCCGTAGGTAGAATGCAGTGTGAATGCAGCCTAAAAAAAAATGCACATTCTTGTTTTTTTACATTAAGCAGAACTCTATCACATATATATCTAAAAACATTTTAAGAATATAGTTCCCTTTAACTTGAAAAATGCTATTGTGAAACTCCTCTTTTCTCCATGCCATGTCTACCTGACATCTATCAATCTTTCCTACTAGTGCAGCTGACAGGTTGCAGTCAGCAGCTGGCAGGGACAAGTTACCATCTGCCATGGCCAAGAAGCTTCTTTTTTTTTTGCAGGAAAAGCCTGGCATTAAGTGTAACCTGCAGGACTTGCTCTTTGCCTGCCTGCTGGTCGACTGGTTTACCTTGGCCTGCTTCTCAGGCCGGCGGACTTTAGGAATGCTGACAGTTATTTCCCAATGAACATTTCACAAGCATTCAGGCAGAAGACAAGATCAAAGGCATCGCTGAAGGAACCTTGTGCTTGGGTATCTTCCGGCACATCAGTTATTCACAAAGTCCGAATATCACTGTGGGCACAGTTCTGGCCTTTTCTGTTTTTTCCCCTCTATATTGTGACCACTTTTTTGATGTTTATTCCTGTGAAGCGCTGTCATCTCTATAGCCTATTACTGTTCGTCAAGCCATGGAAAGTGTCTGCTGCAGGTTATATTGAGAATATGCTGTAGCTTTTACTTTTGCAAATAACAGAAATGTTTATTGGTATTGTGTTCTTTTGTATTCAAACAATTTATGCCTTCCTCTTGCTAATCATTTTTCTCTCTACTATTTGTTTGATATCTTGCATTTTTACATTTATGAAAATCAGATATAATACAACATGAGAAAAGACTAGTATGTCATCTCTGGTCCTCAGTTTATGTGCACAGCTGCATTTTAAAAGATCAGTCTGCCAAAAACTGATAACTCGCTTTTTGTTGTGTTTGTTGTTTGGTTTTTTTTTTGGTAGCCGCTGAAAATGTTAGTTCACATGACAAATTTTTCTCAGGATTACTATTGGTGAAATCTCTGTGCACACCTAATGTGGCAATAATGAGGGTCTCCCTGCTGGATTTTTCATTTATTTTACTGATTTTATTGAGAATGAAACAGGAGCTGCTGGAACATGCAGAGGTGGGCAAGAACACCTAAAACTTGTATTTGGACAGAAATAATGGCAGCATGATCTCACTATTGGAACATCCAACACCAGTATACCCCATCAAGGGCAGACTCAGCCAACCATACCCCACCTGTAAATAGGTTAAATGAATGAACATTAACAGTGCAGCTTATGTCCAGATAGCAGCTGTAACACTCACCACTACTTTTCATCGATCTGTGCTGGTGTTTGTTCCTAGTAGTAACTACAAAAAAAGTCAGGCATTTCTTGTGTGTCAGGGATCAAGTTGTATGTGGCCCACAGGCTGCTAGTTACTTATCACAGCCTTACATTGAGCTGGTTTCCCACAGGCAATCATCCTGTGGGAAATCAGCTCAATGTAATGTCCCCTTCAACTTTAAAGTAGTTTTAAACCCAGTAAAATCTCTTTAAGCTTTAACAAATGAAATTAATGTCAGTAGTTTTTTTTTTTCATTTGCAGATAATTGTTGATCCTGCCATGAATGTTCTTGTTCAGGCACTTCCTAGGGTTACAACTATCTCTCAGTTGTGCATACACACTGGAGATTATAATAATGCAATAAAAAGTGAGTCACACTATGGCTCACAATAACTAGTCAAGAGCTTGCGTCTCTTCCATCTTTACCTCCCACTTTTACTCCCCTAGGTAAATTTCAGTTGTATGTGGACCCTGGATGTTTTGGCAGAACTTCTCCGTTACAGGTTTTTAAAGATGAAGTTCAGGATATTTTTAAATCTACCCATGCACTGCCCCCTTGCACTGCCCCCTTGCACTGCAAGGGTTAAATGATCAATTTGTCTAGACAGAGAAATAAGCTGTAATACTTACATTTTTCCTCTCTCCCTCATCAACCTCAGATACAATGCAGGACTTCTGGTACTGCATTGTATGTGATGACCTGTCACCATCAGGGAGCCAAAAGGAATCGGCTCTGCGGGACCATTCTTTCAGCTAGAAGGAAGCCTGTTGGAGCAAAGGGTAACATACATATTACCCCTTATTCCTCTACTGCTAGGTCATCCAATACTTTAACTCTTGATGTGTGTGTTGGGGGGGGGGGGGTCACCGCAAGAGTAAGTTTTACTGATTTGCAGATTTGGGCTTTAATTATGAAGACTTCTTAAGGCATTAACCTCAGAAATAAATGGGCAGATTTGGAGGGTCCTTATGTTATCGGTCACAAAAGACAGTGACTCCCAATATAGTTATGTCACAATGTAGAAAGGACTGTACTGCAGCTTCTAGCTTTAGCCTTACAGATTTTGTTTCCGATCCCAGTCCAGGCACATTTTATTATGACAGGTGGTAAAGTAAAATTTCTGCTTTTACTATGTGAATGTCTTCTTTGAACAGTGTTTGTGGTCAGAGTTCTTCCTTGGCTTATTCATCTGTCTTCCTTCTACTTTAAGCCTCTCTTCTTACTATAAGGAATTTTTCTCCTTCGTTCTTCTTTTTTCTTTTGTTAACTAAACACTTTCATTTTTCTTCCCTCTTCAGCATTCCTACTTCACAGTGCCTGATCCTCGAGAACTGCCGAGTATCCCAGAGAATGTGAGTATCTGCCTTAAGTGCCCATGATATCAGTGGGGTTGATTACATTTACAGTTGCTCCACATACTAGGTTTATGATAATTTTAGGATTCAAGGAAGATTAGGGGCTTCCTTTTCCTGGCTTTTTGACCTAATAAAGCTCATTGTTGTCTAGAAATGGCAAATATAGAATGCCAAAAATACTGTAAGGGGTAGCACATTTAGCAAAAGTAACAACTTAGCATACTTATAAACTATATCTGGCAAATAGTGAGAAGTGCTTTATATCACCTGATGATTGTTGTTTTATCGTAATACAAGGCCTGCCTATTTTACTTTGTGCCCCATGTGTAAAATCACTGCAATAAACCCAAAGAACAACCATAACATACAGGGGTACAGGTACTCTTAAAAATTACCAAACAGGGACTCTGTAATACCTCTAATGATCGCTATGGAACTCAGCTGCGGATGACACCCTGAACAAGTCACAAACTTTATGTTTTGGATGTTTTGTTCACATCAAAGAAGTATCAGTCAATAGTATTGAATGAAATTAGATCCGCTTAAGTAACTTGGTAATGTTTAACTTCACCTCACAGAAGTAGCAGTCAATAGTTTTGAATGAAACTAGATCCACTATGGTAACTTATATCACAGAAGTAGCAGTCAATAGATGTGAAGGGAATTAGATCAGCGATAACTTATATCACAGAAGTGGCAGTCAATTGTTGTGAAGGGAATTAGATCTGCTATGGTAACTTTGTAATGTTTTTACTTCACATTACAGAAGTAGCAGTCAATAGTTTTGAATCAAAATGGATCAGCTAGGATAACTGGAAATACTTGCTGTTAGCTGAGCAACCAAGAACTCAGGCTGAAAGAGGAGACTTCAATGGGATGCACTGGAACCTGGAGGCAATAGCTGGTTTCCTTAATTATTAGTTTGAATGGTTTAGGCAGGGTTCAGGCTGTTGAGGGCACAGGGAATTGCTTTTAGCCCATATGGAGGCACGAAGGTTCAGAGAGCTTGTCCGGCATCGGCATACATTGCAGGTATGCCAGACATGTGAAGATTTGCGGCTTAAGCCAAGGAGGAGTGGCGTGACGTCGGGTGACTAGGGGTGGAGCCACCCTTTGTGTCCTGGACGCCGAAGAGGTGAGTATGGTAGATCTTTTGCAGACTCATATACACACATGCATGCACCACACACACACAGACACGCAAAAGTTGAACTTTATGGACCCGTGTGTTTATTCAAACTCAAATACTATGTACCGTATTTTTCGCTCCATAATACGCACTTTTTCCCCCCCAAAAGGGCCCTTAAAAAAAACAACTACTGCAGACAGTTTTGGAAGACATAACTTAGTGTAGACTTTGAGGGAAAGAAAGGTGCAGCCTAGGGATGTGAGGAGTGTTTGTTCACACTGCTGAGAGAACAGTGTATGGTATAGACACTGGTGATTAAAGGATGTCTATACTGAAGTGTTGGTAATACTATGTGAGCAGTCTGTGTGCTGTTTAACTTCACGTATTTGAGGAACCACAGCTGCAAAACAATCACATTCTTGTGGTTGCCCTGATCTTAGGGTTTAATGACCAGACAAGATGTCCTCTCCAGTTTCACTGATCCCGGGCCATGTACATGAGCCCTGAGAAAACAAGCCATAATGTTTTAAATTGTTTGAAACCTAATTCCAAATCATTCAGTTTGTTCACAGGTACAATTAACACTGATCTTTTGTAACCTCCCTCTGACAAATTCCCCCATGGAGTTTTCCTTTTCAGCTTCCTTTTATCAATTTTGCAAAATCTAGATAACTTACTCTACATTTTGTATCCGTGTATGTAGAAGCTCACATAAAAATTGCAGTTTCCTTTTTTTCTTTCTCACTCATGCATTAGCATTCATGTAGGCCTCTTAATGTAGATAAATACAACCGCTATCCCATCATAAATATTAATGGGTTTGCAGCAGTTGACCTGTGGTGTGCAGCATAAAATCAAATCGTTTAAATAATTACTACATTTTAAGGAGGTTTAAGTGTTTTCAGCAATGGTGCAAATGTGTGTTTTTTTCTCATGAGTAATAGCTCTCCATGTAAAAATCAAACTGCAACAACACTGACTAGCATTGTAATTATCTTGTTTTGTGTCAGACCTGAGTTTGTTGCAATCATTGTAAAGCAATTTACTGGCATTATAGTCAGAGTTCTCTATGTAAAGGATTAGTGCTGCGTATAGAACCTGGATGTGCTTTCTATTAGAAATAACTAAATATTTATAGATGCCTCGTTTTTATAGTTTTGACAATTGACTACTCCCATTCAATTGTGTTTCATGAAACTTGTTCTGGGTCAGCAACTCACAAAGTATTGAAGCTGGTGGATAAGTATGAGAGCCAGGCATCCAGAATTTTTAAAAGGAGAGGTCAGCAATAGCAACATGAGTATTGTCACAGTACAGGATGATTCTTTGAACCTGAAGTAAACCTGTCAGTCCTTTTGAAAAAATCAAAAGTAAAATTCTTACTTCGGAGCAGAAATGTAATTATTTAGCCGGAAAAACATTTTCTACTGTTTTTTGATGACCTCCCTACTTTCAATCTGCGTTCTCTGTCCAATGAGAGCACCTACATAACTATAAGAGGGAGACTTGTTTATCAGGGGGACGGTGGCTGAATTAGGTCTTACAGAGGTTGTGTTCTCTTAACCCCAAAGTTGGAGATGTCAGCCTTTAGTAACAAGTCATGATTGGGTGTGAACATTATGATCACAGGCTAAGGGCAGACAAGTGACTGAGCTTTATTGCTTAACTACAACAGAGAAAAGCCTGGTCACCACACTGGCTGTGCTGCCTGGCAGGGTTATGTAAATCTTAAGGATGGATAGACAAATACAAATTCTTTGGCAGGTAGAACAACTCAAGTATAATATGCTTTAATTGTATTTTTAGTTGTTTGCCTGCAGTTCATCTTTAAAGTTTTTCTTATTACTGTAATTGTTGGGAAATCTACACTGCTCAGACTGTTGTATCTCCTCATAGTGGAAATCAAAGACTTCCAATGTGTCCCTTTCAAGTAAGAGGACATTTATGTCCAAAACACTGCCTGCAGGCTTAGAGGGATAGCGGGAAGAAAACATTTATTTTATTGTAGATTAAGCTTTCATACTGCTATTTGTATTGTGGATTGCGGTTTACGCCGTCCCTGGGCCAGATTCACCATTAGACATAGTAGACACCTATATAAGTTCACATATTTCTTTTAGTAGATTACTAGAAATACAGCCCTATTGGCAGCTGTTTGTTGGGGACACTTGGTGTGGATATAGATATGTCTGCTTTTTACCTGCCATATAACATTTCCGTAAGTCACCAATTTCTTTCCTACAGGAATTAAAATGTAAATGGGCAGACCAGTTACACTGGCCTTTGCACACAATGTTCACTCCCTAATATTTATAACAGTGAGATGACTATTTACTCGCTTGTTTTTTTGTTGTTATTTTTAAATATGGCTTATACTTTAATAGTAATAAACTCAATTTTGAGAACATAAAATCTGATTGCACAATTTACTGAGTTTAGATTGAATGGTATATTAATGCAAATATGTTAGAATCCAATTATAAGGAACTGTTATTGAAAATAGAGATGGTAAGGTGTGGTAATCTTCAAGCTGGCCACTCAAGTCACAACCTGACTGTACAATGGACTTTAAGTTTACAAAAATAATAATTGTATAGTGAGAGATTTTAACTAAACCATATATAGTTCGGTCTGCTAGTATAGTTGTATTGGTCAAATAATTCAAAATAAAATCAATGCCTATGCAGCCCATACACTTCTATTAGGCTGCTGTTAATATAATTAGGATGCTCTAGTGATAGTTACTGTCCTGGGCTGGGGTGCAGGTCTCGGTAGTGGGGGGCTCAGTTTATAAAAACATATTTAAAGAAAAACTCTTAAAGTAAACATGTTTCTTAACCTTTGCAGTGGGCTATCCACGCACTGCAAGGGTTAAGTGGTCGTTTTCGCCTAGGTTCAAAAATAAAGTTACACTCACCCGATTCTCCCTGCCGGGCAGTTGTTGCAGTGCTCCCTCCTGTCTTGCCCTCCTCCACTGCAGCGATGGTATGTCCTTCGGTGTCCTCATGTCTTATAAACAATGTATAGACCGCTGCAGTAGAGGAGGAGAGAAGCTCCAGGGATCGGTCTACAAGCAAGCCAGCTTCGAGGATGAGGTGAGTATAACAAGGGAATCGACACATCCAAAAATTTTGTTTCCGCACGGTTGTATGAAGCGGCAAAGGTAAGTATTCACTCACATCCTTTGCATGTAACCCCCTGTTTTTTATTTTACTGGCATGGTCATTAGGAGAAACTTGAGAAATATAGGTTGCAATTGCAATTCTAGTTGCCTGCTTTTGACTTCAGTACTTACTGAGTTACTGACTAGAAACATATGCTGGTCAAGAACTCCTTTACAAGCTTGTTCAGAAACTACTGAAGCCATACAAACAGGTATTTTCAGAAGGAAAGGTCAGCAATGTCTACCCCTGTGTCTTCTTTTAGCAGTTTTATGTAAAGCCATTTTTTTTTTTACAAAATAAGTAATAGTTAAGACCCCTGTTTGTGTCTTATCAGGGATATTTCCCTTTATCCGCTATCCTCGAGATATACAGTCATGGACAAAAATATTGGCACCCCTGCATTTCTGTCAGATATTGCACCACTTCACGCAGAAAACTGTTGCAATTGCAAATGTTTAGGCATTCTCATGTTTATTTCTTTTGTTTGTATTAGTATGACACAAAAAAGTTGAGAATAAAAAGCCAAATCTGACACATTTCAAGCAAAACTTCAAAAATGGACTGGACAAAATGATTGGCACCTTCTCCAAATTGCAAGAAATAACGGCATTCCACATTTGTGATGCTCCTGTAATTTGTAATTAACCCCTTCGTGACTGACGACGTACAGTGTACGTCGCCAGCATCGGGGCTGTTTAAACAGA